TGTATGTTTGATAGCAGTTTCATCTCTGTGTGTACAGCAGGGATGCTTTCTATGTACAGGATTGGGCTCAGGCTTATACAAAGAGGAAGACCGGGCCTATTATGATTTAAAGGTTTCTCCGTGAGTGTGGAGCGACTCCAGTTAGGCTTCATAACGATGATTTAATGTCCTTTCAGTCAGAACAGTCATGAATAAATCAGCTTTGCCCGAACGATCATGGCTGAAGGTGATCAAACTGGTAGAAGACCTTATTGTACTGTAAGTGCTTTGGCTCAGCAGCCTGCCAGCTGTGTATATATGTAACATATATCGATCAACAGTGGCAACATTGATCAGCCTTTTGCTTCCGAGCTGAACAACACGGACATACAGCACATCATGCGCCAGTATGTATGGAGCCAACCAGACAAAAGGCGAGAGAAAATGAAAACAACAGCATGTGCGCAATGCATTCATCGCACCATCTGTAAGCAGCTTATGCGCTGGCAGGCCTGGCATGTTTTTAAGAGGAAAAAAAACATCCGTGGGCACGACACCTGTGGGAGGTAAGAGACATGCCCTCGGCAGAACACAGTGGACACTGTGGATACAATGGGATCCAAGCTCCTGTTTGACAAACGGAGGTAAACATGTCAGCACTGACCTGACGATGGGACCGAGCTGCAAGATGTGCAACAGCAGAATGAGCGGTCTGTCTCTGCTCAGGTCCCGGTGGATGAAGGTGAGGGTGAGCTGCACGAGCACGGACGGTACGAGCGTGAAGAGGAGCGTGAGCCCCTGCCAGATCTGGTCTCCGGCGGAGCGGTACGTGGAGCTGAGGTACAGCGCTGCCGTGGTCTCGGCCGTGAACAGAGACACCGACACAAAGATGGAACTGGGGAATCGCATCCTCACTCACTCCGCCATTTGGGGAATGCGGCGCGCTGCTTCGCTCAGAGTCTGCACGTCCATAACGAAACCACCGAGTCGTCGGTTGGAGTGTTGGAGGAACGCCGCCGCAGGAGCAGCAGCTTGTCTGCGATATGTGAGGCAGGCGGGACAGGTTCACAGCCAAGTGTTGTCCCGGGGAGAGACTGCTGGGGGCGCAAGAAGCGCTGCGCTCTCCAGTGCGCACTGAAGCGCCAGTCAACGAGACGATAACGCCCCGAAGACTGATGTTATAATGGTGGTGCAAACATCTGCAGGGCCATGAGGCTAAGAGTTTCAATTGCAATTCACTAACCAGCTTACTCATTTTTTGGACAATTTCACAGGCCTACTAATCTATCCAGCATGGAGCCAGAAAGCCCAAATACTAATGTCACGTAAAATTAAACAAAAAACAAACAAATAAACAACAACCATGAGCTATGACTAGTCTGTAAGGAAGGAAAAGCTTACAATTCAAACGTGACACAGGAAACTGTCTCTACGTAACACAGTCGCAAAGCTGCTTTGACGCCCCCAAATCATAATGTTCCTCTGCTGCAGTGAAGTTGTGACAGAGGCTAAAAACATTTGAAACTGTACGAGCACACACACTACTGTAACTGTATATGAGAAAAATAAGGAACACATAAGTCAGCTTTAAATAAACCTGACACTGTACACATTCTCGGTGTCTCCTGTCACCAGCAAGCTGGTCCAAATTTTTTGAAAGGGTTTCATTCAGACAGCGCTGACCTAAAGAACCTGCTGATTAGTCGTGGAAACGACACAGGTGGGACACCACCTCCGCGCAGGAAACACACTAACTCAGGCTGGAAAATCCCCAGACACTTCCACGGACCATGACAGTTTCAGTGAATCAATGTTCTGATGGCTGCTTACAGCAGTAGCGCACCATGTTGCACAGTTTAAATTATCTCACACTAGTTTCTTGAACGGGACAGTTCACTGCACTCAAATGGCCTCCACAGTCCTTTGGCATGTGTTGCAATGTGAGAATCACATTATGGATGTGCAGCTGACAAATCTGCAGAAAGTGTGCGATATTATCATGTCAATATGGACCATAATCTCCGAGGACTGTTTTCAACATCTTGTTGGATCTGAAGTCAAAATAGGGTCCAATATTAGCAAGGTGTACCTAATAAAGTGGCCAGAGAGTGTACATGTATGTGGGATATGACCAAGATGAGACCTATGTTGTTTTTGGCACTTACAGCTCAGTTAAAGTCCTGGCAGGAACAGGTGTGACTTGACATCTGGCCCATGTAAGGTGAAAATGTGCTTGCACTGAGGCAGCTGAGCTCACCCACATAACAGCTGTGGCCCACTACATGTGTGGGCCGCAGCTGGACCAAATACTCACCTCTAAATAGCCTGTAGTGCTGGAGTTTAATACTGATGAGAAAGGTTCAGACATTTTATTGAGACTCTGTTCTAGACGACATTAAGAGCCTCTAACCCACGTTAAGTATTAATATCTTCACATTGTCTTCAACACTCCTATAATGGATTAAAATAAAGGTAAAATATAAAATAAAAGATGTAATAGTGTAGTTTTTATCTGCTCAGAATACGCAGCTTCCATTAAATTACAAATGTTTATAGGCTGCAACAAAGCGAAGCGTCCTTCTCCTCTTATGCTCTAAAAGCCAACTGTTCAGTGCCTCTACCAATATCAGGGACTAAGCAGCCATTAACATACAGGCACAAGTGTAATGATTTCCAAAATATGGGTTTTATTTTACCCCACAAACAACAAAAATAATGTCAGATATACACAATCACATAAATAAGCCATTTTAAGAAATAAATGGGCACTGAGAGGTTCAGCTAAATACAACGGCACTAAAAAATAATGGCTAACAAAATTAAATCAGCTGAATGTATATATTAACTGAGTAAACAATTTTAAATGCAAAAGGAGAAACAACAGGAACAAAAACTACATTTAATTTTGTAAAAAACAAAACAAAAACCTGTTACCCCCCCATGTGGTCATAAAAGATGGTTAAGTCCATTTGTTTCACCTTTGGACTTAAACTAGCTCCATCTTCAACCTCCACTTTTGCTCTAACCTTAAAGACTGCAGCAGGAGCCAGGTTGATAAAAGAACCCCCCAAAACTGAAATATAATTAGTGCAACCTATACATACTTGCTATAAAATACTGTTAAAATGTTGTAAAACAAGTGTGTACAGCATCATTTATTTATCTATATGAACCTCACTGACAGCTGTTGTGCGGTTGTGGACCAGCACATCCAAGCTCGATGGTTCCAGCGCTGAAAAGCATAAAAATACATTTGAAAAAGTGTAATATTTTTCTATTGCAAGGACTGATCCACTCACAAGGAGATTTTTTTTCTCTGTCACATTGTTCATAAAGCTGCATTGAAAAAGCTGATAAAATATTACAGCAATTAAAAGTCATCAGTTTTTATGCAGTCTCCAATAACAGATCCTCATCAATCACCAGTGGACGCTTCGGTTCTGTGTTTTCATGTATTGAGTGTCTTTTCCTGCAAGGCCTTTCCCTTGAATAAAACACCAGTCATCTCTATTATTTTGTCATCTGGACACTTTATTGGTATCAATAATCCAGTAGCAGGTATTGTTTTAAACAGCTTGGATTGCAAATGAAAAACAGCAGCACACATGTACGGCTTGTAAATGTTTCACAACTGGCTCAGTTAAAGTTGGGAAACTGCTTTGGTTTGCTGTTATTCGCAGGCAGTTTTTTTTAATCAACATGAGCCACATGTTCATATAAGCTTCCCAAAGCATCTTCAGTTTCCTGTATTCTCTGCCTTCTTATTCTCTGAGAGAAGTGATATCATATCTGAAAGCTAGACATTTGTTTGTAAAGCCTCATTTGCGCATTTAGCTCAAGAAATTCACCACAGAAAGAGTCGCCTCAAGAAACGGACTGAGTTGGACGAAGAGTGAAATTCTCACATCGGCAGCACACTTTGTTCTTTTCTCCTCCGTCTCCATCACAAAAGTACAGACTAACTTATTGTTTATCTGTAGGGTAAAAGTTGAAACCAATCACAACATATTGATCACTTTGAAAGTACCCACACAGTAGCTAACAGTTTTGAAATATTAATAAACACAAATGGCTGTCACACTGGTACAAGGCATAACCTCAGCTTCAGCAGGTGAGAACAGCACAGCGGAAACAAAGTGTTACTTTTATGTCGATAAACAGTTGCATCCCTTCTGTACCTCCCCACCCAGCTTTGATGATCTTTATAGTTTGCGATTACGTAAAGACGTGAACTCAAAGGTCTGCGATATGTGACGCTGAGCTGGTGAACTGGTAGAAAAATTTTAAAGGCATTTATGTGACACTCGTTTTTCTGTTTGCAGCTTTTTTGTGTGTGTGACTGGGGTGTGATTGCCTTTTACTTTTATGTGTAAGTAGCTTGTGTGTTTCTGACCTGAGAGCAGCATCTTGGAAGAATATCTCAGTTTCTCATCTCTGTACTTTAGTGCTGGGCTCCTTTCTTAGAGTGACCCTGATAAAGCAGACGACAACACAGACGGAACAATCTGGGCGCTTTGGGTGATGTAAACAAGAAGTACAGCTTAGTGTTAGCGGAGTCAGTGAGTTAGTTGTGGCCGCGTTGTTTTTAGCCTACATTTGTTTACACCATTAAAAATATTGCACTGTACCCATGGATGCACTCACGACTATCACTGCATTACTTTTACGATACAGAAGCAAACTTGATGATTCCCAGACGAATCTGGAGTTACAAGAAGCATCTTTGTTTTTTGTTATTTGTCCCCAAGCAGATTTATTGATGTATACGCCCAACGGACATCTCATATAGACCTCCATCACTAGTGACAACAATGGACAATGTTTTTGTGAGTGCCATGCATCAGATAAAGCCTCAAAGCTCAACATTCAAACAGAAAAAAGACAATTTTTCTACAGCAACTTTCCTCTGTGTGATATTGATCTAAAGCCCAAACAAAAAACATTCATCCCTCCACTCTCGTTCTGATCACAATATCAATCCTGACTCTAAAGTTTCTATAAGTTGTTTAGCGATTTCACTGGGAAAGGGACGGGGTCTGTTCAGGTCAGTGAACAGCAGTAACCTTTCAGTCCATTCACACAAAGACACTGAACAGAGGGAACTCTGACTGGTCTGGCTGCAGGAGGTCGACCAGGAAACAAACGGTCCCCGACAGGCCTTCGAACAGACTGTAGATCCTGGTAACTGAGCGAGAGCCTGCCTTGAATTCCTCAGTGAAGAGGAACTCTGCAAACCTGTGTGGACAAAACAAGAATGGAGACACAATAAAACACAATGTGAAAGCAGCATGTCCAGAACTGAGCTATAACTTCTTGTAGAGATCAGGAGTGCACCTGAAGTTTCGGAACCTCCTTTTAAGACAATAAATTTACACAATGTGGATAAAAGCATTGGGCCACACCTCTTAATCTTTGATTTCAGGTGTTTTCAGTGCCACAGGTGTATAAAATCAAGCACTTAGCCACGCAGTACAACTTAAACAAACATTTGTAAAAGAGTAGGTTGTTTCAAAAGAGGTCATGACATTGAAGCATGGTGCTCTAACAGGATGTCATCATTGCAACAAGTCAGTCTGTGAAATTTCTTCCTACCAAGATATTCCACAATCAACTGTAAATGTTATTGCTGCTAAAAGGGCAAGCAGATCATGTAAAGTCACAGACCTGATATGCATATAGTGTAAAAGTCACATGGCAACGGCTGCTGTAGATGTAGATAATGCGTGTTTGTCACTGCTGCTAATGTAAAAACATGACCCACATGTATGAAGCTTTTGTGATGAAACAGTTTTTGTGATTCTTGTTATGCCCAATGTGTTTTTTTCAAACATTTAAGAGTTAGAAAAGATTGATGCCGCACTCGTTGTGTTATACATGTAGCAAAAGCCAGGAAGCCTAGCTTAGCATTAGCACTGCAAATAAACCAAAGCAGACAGCTTGGCTTTGATAAGGTAATATAATAAAGGTGAAATAATTCACATGCCAGGACCCCTAAAGCCCTTGAAATGTGTCCAAAAATCAAAGTGTAAAAATGACAGTTCACTGTTTAATGGCCAGGCTAGCTGGTTCCTCCCATGTAACTCTGTGCTACGTTATGCTAACTGTCTTCGGTCAGCTTCAAATAGACACGAAGACAGGACCATTGTGTCAATTTACTCATCTAATTCTTGACAAGCAAAAGTTCTCAAAATTTTAAGCATTTCCTTTAAATCACCAGCAATTTTACACACACCAGATAATGCTGAATACAGCCTGAATATTCCCACTATTTTGGTTTTACAAAGCCATTAATCACATCTATGTTACACTTCTTAATAGCAGACATGGTTGAAACCCTGGCATCATCTTCCTGGTAGAAACTGGATGCAGTAGACCTGTAGAAACCAAACTATAGATGGTTAGATGTTAATGTTACCAAACCCTGAATTACACACTGCTCTCACATAAGCTGCCTTGATGGTTTGAAGTACCTCAAACCAATGTCAGGTCAGCTGTCATTTTGAAACTATTTATTCAAACTTGATGTTGACAAAAAACAGTTATTCAATATCAAAATGTTTGCTGGGTTGTTGCAGCTCCCCAGAAAAGGAGGGCTTTCTTGCCTCTGAGCACGGTAGATGTATTTGGAGTTGCCTGTGAGCCGATAAAGCAGGAGGAAGACATATGCGCTGCCTGCAACTCCGTGACAAATCCCAGGACCTTTCTTCAGCAGACCTTTCTGCCATACGAGTTCTCCACTTCTAATGCATTTATCCAAGTACTGTGGCTTCTTATTGATCAGATAGGCTTTTGCGAAAAGGTACGCCACACCTGTAAGAGACAGGACAGTGTAGCAGTGGGGCTCTAAACCACGGGACAGGAACAGGATGATGGGCATTAACAGCTCTGAGCTTACCCGGGGCTCCGTGGCACCAGTGCACCAACTCATTCTCCCTTTCGATGATGGCTCCCAGCTCTGCAGGCCAGTTACAGTTTTGCTCCTGGTTCATGAGGAAATCAACACTCTGCCACACCAGATCCTTTTCAGCCCCACTGAGCATGTCTTGGTAGCTCAACAGCATCTGCAGCACAGATGAAAGGCCGTGGGCTGCGCCTGACAGAGGAGGGAGGGCGAGGTGTGTGGGGAGGGTCGCACATGCACAAACAAAATCAGGCATGCAGGAAAACACCATGCCAGGCACACAGACAGACACCACCCAGAGCACAAAAGCGCAAACGCTCACAGAGCACAACGGGAGGACTTGTTTTTGTTCCATTCTAATCCGGAGCTCACTGTACATATTTGACAGTTATAGGTGACATAAAGTCCTATTTTCCAGCACTGAGGAAATACATCAGCAGCCCGAACTTGATGCAAGAACAGGGAAGTGTCCGTCAGCTACATGACATCTGGCCCACAAATAGAATGCTTCAAAACTAGAGATCACTTCGTC